AAGTTTTATTCATATTCAACACAATGTACTTGCCTTGCTGTCTTGGTTCATCAACAATTACTTTTTCTGATTCTAATGCTCTTTTTACTAATCTCTTGATGTTATGAACTTGTGCTATAAATTCTTCGTTAATTATCGATGTTGATTCATTATCAGGTAGAGAAAACAGTATACATCGGAAAAGATCAAAGTTCTTTTGAAATTACAACCAGCGATATATGCTGTTATTAAAAGTGAAAAACCAAAACATATTTATGTTGTAAAATTTTTATTGTTAAATTCTGATGAATTCGATAGAACAGAAGATTTTGCAAGTTGTCAAATAAGTTATCACACATTTATTTATACATCAACTACAAGTACTCGAAATATGCTTGCCCATTCTTGTGTAACAAATTTATCCGATGCAATTAGATGACTAACCCGTAGATCGATTTTTAAGGAACAGTATAAGGTGAGCCAACCTTTTTTTTGCAAAGTCTAGTCCACAGATACCTTTGAGTTAGATATCAAATAATGTAATTTCATTTAATGAATTAAGAAAAAGATTTTCTGTCAATCACAAAAGAATCCAACAAATTATTCATTTCATTGTCCAATTGACAAGAACTGCTCGAAGTCTGATCAAAAGATTTATAAAATATTTGAAGAAGATTCCTGAGGATTGGAAAGTTATTTTGAAGCATCATTATTAAAATAATAAACAAGAATCATTAACTTGATTGTTTCAGAAAAATACTTAGATGTAACCAGAACTTGTGGTGATGTTGCTGGGCATTTTATCAAGTACTTAACATTTCTTTTCGATAAGATCCAGTTACAACAACAAGAAAATTTGAAAAATCGATAATGAATTCGATCAATGATATATTAAAATTGGGTCTTTTTGGGGAATCGATGCAAAGACAATTCACGAAGAACTTACAACAACATCGGGACCTAACTTTCCTTTATATCGAACAGTTGTAAGTTGTGCGAAGCGTTTTCACGAAGGAAGTGATAATATCAAAATAATCCACATTCAACTTATGATAATATCAGCGTCGAGACTCGTCTTTCTGACGGTATAATAGAACTAATCATTCACTATTGTCTAATGATGAGAAAAGTAATATCACGTTGGGTGCTTTATTGCCTTAATAATGTATAAAAGCAAGAACGAGTTAGGATTTGTAATGAAAATTCAACAAAGTTTTATGATAGATCATGTTGATTTTGTAATATTATTACAGGTTATGAGATATAAATTTATTATAGACAGATTCAACCAACTCAACTAACGCAAGCTGGATTAGTAAAGGTAAATCATCAAAGACTATTGTTCCCAGAAAGTAGCTTCACACCAAAACCTTTGTTTTCTATATTCTTTAAATCAAACGATTATTTTCTTATACGTATTGGTGATAAAGGCAATACTATAGATCACAATTATTATATTGAAAATAACCTCAAATCTATTGTCAATGAAATATAAAAACAAACGAAGTAATCAGGTAAAAAATGTATAAAATTATGTGAGGAGAATGTTTGACCTTATACTCATCCAAATATTATCAAATATTTAACACAAAAAGGTATTCACTTAATGTTGCATCTGTCGTTTTCATCTGACTTAGCACCATGTTATTATTGGCGAAAGGATTATATCACGCGTAGTTTACCTGATTAAATAGATGGAAATTCACGGGTTAGTATAGTTCCAAAGATAGTTAGAAATCTTTCAGAAGAAGAGTTTACAAAAAAAACTGGACAAATTGACAGAAAGAATGAAACTTTGTATAAATAATTATGACAACTATTTTGAACAATTAAGAAAATTAAATTAAAAATATCTCTTTACTTTTTATATTTTTTCAATGTTATCAAAACTCTTGGTTGACCCTAAGTACGTAAATGTTTATGACTATTTTTCATGATTTAAATAAATTCTATTTTGTATCAATTAAAATTCATTAGAATTTTAAATTGGTATGAGTGTACGCAACTTAATTGAATTCAGAATCCTTCTCAGATATTGGCTAATGCTTACACTTGAATCAGATTTCATTTTGAAGATACTAAAACTGGAATCCTGTAATAAATGTACCTCCACGCAAGTTTTTATTCATATTATCGGTGGTAATAATTGAGATAGTTTCAGCAATATCAGTTATTGTGAGAATTTAAAGAATTGTTAAGCATACATCTAACCCGAATATTTGGCTTGTGATTCAAAAACTGGTTCGGTTTCGAGGTTCGTTACTTCGCTCATAAAAATCACTCTTCTATTGTAGACAAAGATTTTATTCTTTATTGCATCGATTTCATTGTGTTTCGAATTTGAACATGCATTCAAGTTTAGGCTATACTCTATTCAGATGAAGTAGATTTCTTACATACATATTTGTGATTTATTTCTGTCGATATCTCTGAAACTTTGTTAGATGGCCAATCTTGTTGTTATGAAACTATCTTACTAAATAGATAAGGACAACAATGAGTATTTTTCGTTGGATTGTAATTTCTAATAGTACCTGTTTTGGAATGCAACAGTAAGATATAGTTCATCAAATATATTGATCTTTTATTTCTTCAACTTTGTGCCATATGATTTGTGGTTGTCGTTCCTGTCTACTTTATTTTATATTATGTAGAAAAAGAAAGTGTCCATGTATTTTTCCAATTCAGTGCTTTTCATGTTTCTTATTCATTCTCACCTGTCACTGACAACAGAAATACAATACTACATGTAAGCAACGTGCTCAACTTTCCTCAAAAAAGTCTTAGCATTTCTGTTTTTCTCAAAGACTAATTATGAAATCAAAACAAATAGAAGCTTCAATATTATTTGATATATAAAAAAAGCTCAAAATTTAGCTGTTTTTGAAAGCTTTCTTTTTGCTACTTATTGATGTATAAGTTAATTATACAGGTGTTTCTCTTTATCTGAAATTAAATAAAATTTAGAAAGTTTATTACTACACTAAAAAGAGATAGTTATCTATCTTTGACAGACATTTAAACTTCATCAATATTCTACTTTCACGCTCAAGACTAAACATACAATGTTCATATTTCAATGTAAAATCTGTACTACGAAGAACAATTTATCATTGTAAGTTCACATTTTTATTTGTCATATAACTTTTTTACATAGATCTTCTTTTCAAGAACAATTTATGTATGAACATATTATCCACCTTTATTTCATTAAGCTCAGTCGAAAAATCTTATGCATTATATGAAAAACTAAGAAAAGTTTGATTTATCAATATAATTCCTGTAATGTTGGCAGTGTTCCACGTTCAACCATAATGCTTTCTGTACCATAAGTTTTTTTTTATCTCATTTAAAATAGCTAATATGCTACTCTCATCATTCAATCGATATATTAGTCTAGATAAAAGAATTTCCCCACATAATCAAAAAATCCCAATTCATAATCCGTTTCTCGAAACGGTATTCTTGACTTCTCGGTCAAATTTCCTCTCCTCCGAAAACTCTTGATCAAAGTTTATATAAAAGTCGTATATTTTCTCCTAATAGCTGTATTCGAGAAAAAAAATCATATCCACAACTTTCCCATTATCCCGTTACTCAGCAACTGGTGTCATTACGTTCACTTTCTTTCCCAGATAACAGTATGTTTTTAAAGATTGATGAAAACCTTGTAGATTTTACAAAACTGATACATATTGTTATCCTTTTCACTGTCCGAAAAATAACAAAAAAGTACTGTCATCCTTTTTATGTTTTTATTGGTTTAACATTGATTCGCTTATTCGCCTAAGGGGGAGCCTCCCCTCAGAAACAAACTTTTTTATTTTTCTATGGAATTCAACCAAAAAGTCAGAGAATGTTTGTCTTGGCTAGAGTAGATTATGGTTAAAATATCTCCTGAAATCTGCGAGATATTCATGAGTTATAGTCAATTTATTGGTCAACAATACTTTGTACGCGGACAAGGTTTTCACAATTAGGACACGAGCTAACATGGCGGGGCTGTATTTAAGTTGTAGAATACTCTTGGCGCTAGATCCTAATAGAGCCCGATTTTTGAACCTTCCTTTGTTTGTTCTATAAAAAATCTTCTCCGAAAAATTCTCAAATTCATGTCCAAAAAAAGTCGCTGATAAAAATGGGATATGTAGGTTTTTTATTTCACCAATAGAGAAATTCAAAAATCGGGCTCTATTAGGATCTAGTCGTAAGTGTCCTCTATGCCATAAAATAAAAAAGTATCACTTCTATCTTGAGTCATTATTGAATAAGGTTTGCCCGCGCAAACAGTATACTCGAAAAAAAAACGGATTTTAAGAAAAATGGAAAATAAGTTTTTAAAAACCTTATTTTTTTCCAATATGAAGGTTCAGAAAACTTATGTAATATTCTTAAAGCTCATCATAAAATCAATCAACTATAGTGCATTTGAGAGTAGACACTTTGCTCTATCTAACGAGTTATAAATCACAAAACTGATGAATTTGACAAAAACTGACTTTATCGGAGGGGGGAGGGACCTTAAGTTAAAGAGTCGTTAAATAATTTAAATATACTAATATGCTGTACAATATTAGTTGAATAAAAGCTACACATCAATCACAGAAATGTAATGAAGTATACTCAGTCTAAGTAATACTACGAAGCTTTAAATATCAGCTTATCATTTACTGTAAATTACACCATGTTTCAGATTTTAACTCCGCAGGGATTGCGCTAACAACTTTCTGTGATGATTAAAGATAATTCAAATCTACAGAGTTGTTTTGATCAACAAATAAAGTCAATGATTATAATATTTATTTCATTTATAAAGAAAAAAGGACAAAAAATACATTAGTTCACAATATAAACGTGTCAATTGACTGGTGTTATTTGATTTATCGGCATCGCTCTCTGTTGCCGTCGCTTCAAATATATTCCACAGAGCACATGAATGAATTGCTTACGAAATCTTGTCGATACACATATATATATATAAAATGGACTCTAAATCAAAATGAAAGAAAAAACAAAAAAAGTCAATGTATCGATAATATTTGCACTCGATTATTTCTACTTACTGCAAAATACAAATAAAAAAAATTAGTTGATATATTTCTAGCTAATTGAAGTACTGCATATTGAATAGTATTTCTAGTAAAGCTTACGCTAAAATCAAACATATATGTGATAATATATGGTACGATAACACAAGAATTGAAAACAACTTGAACGAGAACAATTAGTGTTAACTGTTTATCCAATTCACGTCGAACAAGAGGTACTGTACGATAAGCTAATAGTCTTACATTACGATAAGCTAATGAACCAAATAAAGCCGTCACAAAGACAGGTAGGCTACTAGTTAAAACCAGAACAAATCCATAGTTATAATACTTCTGAAATATACTATCGGAAATTTCACAATGATTTGCATTAGTCAAAATTGATATAGTATGAGTTTCGTAAACTAATGTTGGAATTCCATGAAGAATCCAAATAAGAAAAGATATTATAAAAAAGCGATAAGCAAATTGAATATTACAATATCGTTGCCAACGAGGATTTGCCCATGTGACCAAGAATTGATCGATTGTTGCTATACACATACATGTAAAAGAAGTTAATGAACATACTTGAAAGCAGTATGCTCGAAATTTGCAATAGGCTAATGAAACATCAGACCAATCAGTAGCAAACCAAGCATTCACAATACGTGGAAGTACACCTGATAATAATTGGCCCATATTGAGTAATGACATAGTTGTTAAATAGAATGCACATGAATTTTCTCGAAAAATTTTAAGACTAAGAAAAACAAGTATATTGAATAGATTGCCAATTAAACCACAAATAAGTATAAACATGCCAAAATAAATAGAGATATGTAGTGAAACACTATTAAGAAATGCAATTGACGGCATTAGTATGTACACTTATAGTATGACATTTTACAAAGTTATTCTTTTATGCTAGCAAACTAGTTATTTCTCTTCTTATATATTGGCTAACAGTTGATATTACTAAAAATTGTGTAATTATCTATCATTAATAAGCTTGAAGGATTAGTTTTTGTAATATCCGGTATTATACGTTTTGTTTTATTTTATGTGACTTTTGAGAAAAAAAACTATCCTAAATCATGTACATCATGTATTTAGAAAGGTGAAAAAAATCATCCGCAACGGCGATGATAAAACTCATTACACTTTTGCATCGTTTAATCGAACTAATACTACGATTGAATTATTATGTCACAAGTCACGATATATTTTAAATTAGTTTTAAATACGAATAAGATGGTTTTTTTTACCTTTAATTGTTTATAATATTGGTTAGAGCCTTCAGTTATATTTTAATAGAAGTCTACAGGCTGTTTCATAAGTCTTAAGGCACCACAATATTAGTTTGTATCCGGTCACGAAACAACCCCTAGCCGTATGTTTTTTATATGCGTTTTAAATACTCGGGTCATACTTTGAAATCAGATATTACAAGTTAATATCCTCTCTTGCAATAATAGAAAGATAAACAGGAATATATGTGAACAAGTTTTTCTCAATTCATCAACGCAATTTTTTTGAACGTTTTCTTAATATAGTGTCGAGCAATTCTACATAAAACATGGTGTAGTAGAAATCAATAATTATTTCTTTTATTCCACACTCATCAAGATCCATTCGTAACATGTTCAATCAAGCTGCGTATGCAGTAACCCGACAGATGTGGATAAAACATATGAAACGTCGCATGAGAACGAAATACAAAGAAACATAGGATTGTCTTTTGAATTATTGATCAACTATTTATTAATTCAATTTTATGTCAAGAAGATAACGATAAAATTGTTGAAGGGCATAACCTATTACAAACGTATGACGAATATTAAAGAAAAAAGTACTAGGAAGAATTAATATATGTATTTATAAAATAATGTTTTGCGTTTTTTTTCTCAATCAAAAATATACTTTTGATCGATTGTGAAAAATTTGTCATTAGATGCATATATTTATATTTTCATTATTACAAGAAAATATATTATCCAATAATATATCGTTTAAGAGAGAGAAATTCAAGTGTTCAAGGCTCATATAAAAATATTCAATTAATGGTTATTTTCTATTGGCATGTGAGCTAATTTTGTGACGCCTCATGACTTACGAAACATCTTGTCGAATTGAAAACAATTTAGCCGAAATTTACAATGTCATGCCAAGCTCTATGTTCAAGCTATATCAAATCTATTTATCATATTTTGAAGAAGTAAATTGGTAATTGATCCCTATTAACAGATGATAGCAGTACAATAAAATGCGTATAAATTTTCTTAAAATGTTTTTTAGACGGAAAAATACAAGTATATCGAGAATTTCACCAGATGTATCAATAATAAGGTTTATTGTGTTCAAATAAATAGTCATTTGTTATTTAAAAAAAAATATTGATTAATGAAAAACATGTACATTACATTCGGATACTCTAAAGCTACACATGCCAATGTGATTCAATAAGAAATTTACATTAGATTGAGAAAAATCACGTTCTTTTAGGTTACATATATACTTATGTTAACGAGAGCAAGTTATCTATCTTGTTTTTGAATATTATTCCCGTTAAATTACCTGATGAAGTTCTGTATATTTGTCATCGAATTTTCTTCGTAGAGTGAAATAAAATTTGGTTGTGAAAAGTATTAAATACATTCAGCAGTTATGTGAAACAGTACATACAGGGGGTATGTATTTCGAAAGAAGTCGACACTGAATATAGTTGCTTGGTAATTGTTATCTGAGTAAAATTGAACAAAAAATCTGGCTGTTATTAAGTAAATTTTTATTTTAACAAAGGAAAGAGAAAAAATCATGCTAGTTTTTCACAAACACGTTGGTGCAACGTAAAACCTTTTGATGACAAAGGCTATAGAATTTTTTGAGTACGTTTCAAGATTTTGATTTCTGCTACTCGTACAAAATCAGTTAAACCTTCATGAGAATACCTTTTTAAAAGTTTTTGAAAATAAATCAGTAATTCTTCTCAAGAGTAAAAAACACCATTGCACTACTTTTTGAAAAAAACTAATTGTGAACTGGAAAATATATTATCATGAAAGGTTAACGTTTTTAAAAATCGACGATTCACGAAAATTAATTGGTTGTGATATCACTTTTTCAATTTTGTTTGATACAACGAAATATACACATCAGATTGTAAATCATAGAAAATAAAACAGAGCCGATAGACACAAAATCGAAGGAATATCTGAACTAAATAATGTAAACATTGAGAAAGATATAGTTGAATTTTTTCAAATCGAGGAAAATTTCAGCACAAATTTTTAGAAAAGATTGAAAAGAACCTCTCTCAAACAATGTGTTCGTTTACATTGTTGTTAAATAGTTCAAGTCTTTCATCCAGAAATCATTGAACGCATATAAATGTTTTGGTTACTTCTATTTATAATCAAAATGTACACCAAATTACATTGATAATTAGTTGTATGTTTGAGATTTCACTAATTTACAAACATTTGCATAGATCTAACGCTTGGAATCGTCTCATTAGTTAGATTAAGTATTAAAACATGGTCAATCATAAGATTAACACAGAATATTAATAAACGAAGAATTAAAGTATTTCTAATAATAAAATCATATCAACTAAGTAATTGTTGTTGAGTTGAGACTTTGTACATCAGGCCAATTTAAGAGAGATATGAAAACACTCAAAAGGTAAGTGCTCGTGCGCCTACCTTCCTCAGTTACAATGATTCTACTGATATCTTAGCTAATGACATGGTGATATATGCCTAGATATCGTATGATGATATTTCAATCAGAAATTCAATTCACAGATAGTTCTATTTCTTTTGGAAAGTCAATATCTTGTAAATGAATTCATCTTTTGACATGAAATCATAAATTAGTTCATAGTTGAAATCTAAAACTAGATGTTCTGAAGCTATGCATAAAAGTCTTAACGATTGACATTTCATTTTTCTATCAAATAGATTTGTAGAACAAGAAATTTATTATTAAGAAATCGTTAGAACTTTTTTGTTTTCTTGTAAATCAATAAACGAAAAATAAATCTACTACAAAATATAAATTTTTTACATTGATATATTAGATTTTATATTGGTTAGTATTGGATTAAATTCTAAAGATTGAAAAGAAATTTTATTTCTTTCAATCTACATTTAACTAATGATATTATTCGATTATTAAAAAATAACTATATTTTGTTAACATTGAGGAAGATCAATATTAAACAGCGCGTAGACCAATTATTGTTATAAACGTTTTGATACATATATGTAGCATGGCACTAAATACAACGAAAAAAAAAAACTGAAGAAAGGAACGCGATCAATAACCGACAAAATAGGCTCCCTGCAAAACCATGATTTCTGTCATGTCAAATTCTCATTCAAGATACCTTAAAGTGATCTCTAATACAGTTAAGCCTATAACACTGGTTTGTGCTGCGTCTCGGCTCATGAATCTCTTTTATTAATAACCATATTTGACTATATAGAGTGTCATTTATGCTACCATCATTATCCAAGATCGATAAGACACATTCACACGAGCTATATTTAAAATTTCATTATAAGGCTTAAAGTTGAGAAAATACATTCCGTCTGTTTTCCTAAGGCTGGCATATAAAAATTGACTACATTGAGTATGTGCCTAAGCGAAGTCAGCATACTTACTGGTAAAAGATATGTGCGTCCGTAGAATCAAGTCGACAAGTTCGATCTACTGATAGTATTATATATACCCTGTACATGTGCTTTTTATCCACAAATCTTAATATTTAGTTTTTACGTGCAGAAGTTTTAATGATACTATTGTCGTTTTCAAAAAGCAATGGGTGTGGTTGTTTTTTGAAGAACTCTAGAATGGCAAGAGGTAGGAACCGGCGGTTTTCACCATTTGAAAGAAGAGACATCACAATGTCTTCTTCTTCAATAGTGTATAAGATGGAATCATTTTAAAATCAACCGTTTTTATAAAATATTGAAAAAAAGGCAGAAAAATTATCTGCCGTTGAGATGTAATTTTAACAAAAAGTGATAAAATTTGCTTAAAAATTAGGAGAAATTCATATTTTTCGGGCGAGTAAATAAAGAATTTTATTTACTTAACATTAGCATGTGTGAAGATAATCATTCGCCTTATATCTTAAACTATAGATCTGAAGTTTCTCTATCTAAATCACATATCAAAATCAAAATTCATCGCAATGACAGACAGTTTTCATGCAGTTTTTGAAATGTTTTGAAGAAATAATTGATTTTAAAACGATTTCATCTTATACGATATTGAACAAAACGACGCTCTGGTTTCATCTCTTTCGAACGGTGAAAACCGCAGCTCACTGACTCTTTCCATTCTAAAGTTATTCAAAAAATTGCCACACCCATTGCTTTTTGAAAACGATATTAGTAATATTTTCATTATGATTACGACACTTCTAACTTTTCACAATAAACGACAAAAACACTTTTTTCATAATTATCTAATTTGAAAGAATAATATAGCAATACATACAAACACAAAAAACAAGAAAAAGAGAAAAAAATTGTATAATATATATGTGAACTTTCCTATAAAAAAAAAAATTACGAGATAAATAAAACTTGGATGCATGTCATGATTCCATGCTAGATTAATATAATACACATAAAAATGAAACGCTAAAAAACAAACAAATAAAACCGTGTAAATTAAACTATTAAAAAAAAAACAAAATCACAGAAAAGACAATGAAAAGTTTTGTTTTAAATTGGATCATTTATATTTCTATTTGATTCATCAACAGAATGGTTCATTGCGATTCCATTTGGTAATGATTGATTTCCAACAATAATTGTCATTGTAGGATTCATGACAGTATCTATTTGATCATTATTAGTATTATT